GCTCAATGCATTTGAAGCGCCCATGAAGCGGGACACGGTCGCCGTCGCCGCCTGCGACTCTTTCCGCGGCGAGTGCGTGCAGCCCGGCTGGACCATCTTGCGCGTCGTGCTTGACAACCCTGGTGTCTGGCTCTTCCACTGCCACATTGAATGGGACATGGCCACCGGCATGGGCATGACGCTGGTCGTGAACCCGTCGAAGCTGCGCTCGATGGGTCTACCGAGCGACATTCAAAGCACGTGCGCGGCGCCGTAGCAAGGGAGCTCGACGACTCTGGTCCACCAAAGATATATTCTACTAATACATTTGTTGTCTACTAGCCTGTTGACTAGACGCTTCTGTTGACTAAAACAGTAATAGAGCGTGGCGAGTCGATCGGCACAGGCTCGGTCGTCGCGTCGACTGGGATATCTAGGATCGCTTTTTAGCCAATCAACGACGCGCTCGTTGGCCCAATCAAATAAAATGCGAGAATGCTATGGATAGCTTGGTAATTGTATGGTGTTTGAAATGAGACGGTTTAAATTGCGTGTAATGGCTCGCTCATTTCCGAAAATTGAGTTTCAAGAGCATGGCGCCGGCGCTCCCGGACCTTCGGCGGCTCTTCGAGGCTCAGGAACGCATCCCGACCGAGACCGCGCTCGGGATCATCCATGATGCGCTCGACCTCATGGACGTGGAGCCCAACGTGCTCGAGATCCAAGCACCCGTCGTCGGTACGTGGAGCATTCCGCATCGAACGAGGTGCAGGACGACGTCCCATGTGTAGTCTTTGGCGACCTGCATGGGCAGTTCTTTGACCTGCTCAAGATGCTCGACCAACTCGAGTTCTTTGCCGACAAGCCGGAACATGCAGGTAGGGCCAAGCATGCATATCTATGCGCTGGTTTGCGACGATCAACGTAGATCGCAAGCTGCTCTTCCTCGGCGACTATGTGGACCGGGGCGTCTTTTCGTGCGAAGTCATGCTCTTCCTCCTCTGCATGAAGATACATGTACGACGACCTCTGCTATGATGCGTGTACGAGATGCATGGTGTAGGCGCCAAGCCGCGTCTTTCTCCTGCGAGGCAACCACGAGTGCGAAGCCATCTCGTCCTTCTACGGCTTTCGCCTCGAGTGCAAGGCCAAGTACGGTCTCTCGGTCTACTTTCATTTTATCGAGTGCTTTCGATCGCTGCCGCTGGCTGCGATCCTCGACGCCCCGGATGGACGCATCTTTTGCGTCCACGCAGGCCTTTCGCCTGACCTCGACACGATCGCCGATATTCAGGCCTTGGACCGACGGCAAGAACCAACAACGAGCGGTCCGCTCTGCGACCTTTTGTGGTCGGACCCGGTGCCCGAGTACGAAGTCGAGCTGCCGCTCGCCGACGAAGGTTGCTTCTATATGTATGCATCGACTCGATCTCATGTGTTGGTGCTTAGACGACAACCGTACACCGCCCGAAGAGACCACATCTTCCAATGGAACCAAAAACGGGCTGAAGAAGCGGCCGTCGATCGTACCCGAGACGGCGCGCTGGTCGCCCAACGAGGTACTCTCCACTTCTGCCCAACAAGTCTGCAGAACGAGGATGTTTTTAGGTCCGCGGGTGCTCGTATTACTATGGCTGCTTGGCCGTCTACTCGTTCTTGAACCGCAACAATCTGCTGTGCATTCTGCGCGCGCACGAGCTCCAGGACGAAGGTTTCCTCTTTCACTTTTCGTCACAAGCCTACTTGCCGCTCGACACGCGGCTCGACACGAGCTTCCCGCCTGTCATTACGCTCTTCTCGGCACCGAATTACTGCGACGAGTACAACAACCTCGTACGTCGTTCACTGTTTCAGACCGACTCTTAGTGCAGTGGTAGGGGGCCATGATGTACATTTCGAACGCACCCAACGGCTTTGACGTCGAGCAGCTCCAAGCGACGCGACACCCGTTTCCACGCCGATATGCGCAGTCGGAAGGCATGTGGTCACTCTTCGAGTCGACGCTGCCATACATTCCTCCAAGCACAAAGTTTTTCGAAGACATGGCCGAGCTCAATGACGTCGGCGCCGTGCCCGTCGACACGGACGAGACGACGGGCACACCACTTCGGCGCTACAGTCGTGGCGCGTCCGCTGTCGGGCTCATCCTTGACGAGCCGGTTGCCATCGACACCCCTGCAAGTACGTCGATCGTCGTGATGAAACAGCACTGTACGAGGCATGCTTCCCTGTTCAGGCGCGGCCAAGCTCAAGCGCCGACGGTCGAGCGAGCGCCATCCGCACGCCCTCAACCCGGATGGGACGCCATTACTCTTGAGTGGAAGCAAGGCAAGAGCACTACGGACGATACATCGAGCACCGTCGACAGTCCTCTCTCTCCAGACCAGTCCAAGGTCTGCCGCGTGTGCCTTGATTGTTGTGGCCAATGAAGTGATGTATGTAGCTCTTTTCGACCAAGGAGCTCGAGATGCTAAAGCTGATGTTTACGCTCATGGACGTGGATGGCGAC